CCCCTTGAACAGATTCACTGACCTGAGAGGTGTGACGAACCCCCACCCCCCATCAACATATTGCATTCTGCCCAGGGGCAGGGTGGGGAAATCTGCGCTCACTTTGAGCGGGAATTTGCCCAAATCCTTCCGTTTCCTGAGCGCCGCTTTCACCACCCCAAAGAGCACGTCTGTGTGGATCGTCCTCTCGTGAGCTTCGTCCAGAATGATGACGCTGTATTTGCGCAGCAGGGGGTCACCGATGGCTTCGCGGAGGAGCATCCCGTCTGTCAGGAATTTGATTCGCGTCTCTTCGGAGCTGAGGTCTTCAAAGCGCACGGTGTAGCCGACCTGAGGAAACAGACAGTCACGCAGGACAAGGCCTGGACACCAAATCACTTCCATTTGCAGCAGCTGTGATTCATACGAAAGGAGCCCAAAGCATCCAGACTATCATGACAGCCACCCCTTCGCCATAGCCATTTAGAACGGCGCGTGCCATGTAAGGAGACTGCATGGATTTATTTTCTGTGGGTCACAAGATCTACGGTTCTAACCTTCCCCCAAGAGAGCTGCCAACATCTCATAATCACTATTTGCTGGCACTGACAAGAGGCTCTTCAACCCTAAGGAAACCTGAAGCATTCCCTGTAACATAATAAACACACAAGGCATCACCTCCTTTCCCAGAAGCCAGTGGACCAGATCATAATTTGTTAGCGTTCCTAAGAGGGATGTCAAAGGTTACGCGGTTAACCTTAACAGGTGAGGCTTACCGGTTCCGGTTAACCGGTAGGGGCTGGAGCAGTCTCCCCCCACCCTGGACAGTGGGCTGCTCCAGACCCACAGAACATAAGAACGGCCGTACTGGGTCAGACCGAAGGTCCATCTAGCCCAGTATCCTGTCTGCCGACAGTGGCCAGCACCAGGTGCCCCAGAGGGGGTGGACCGCAGACAATGATCAAGCGATTTGTCTCCTGCCATCCCTCTCCAGCCTCTGACAAACAGAGGCCAGGGACACCATTTCTATCCCCTGGACCTAACCTCCATGAAATTATCTAGTTTCTCTGTAAACTCTGTTATAGTCCTAGCATTCACAGCCTCCTCTGGCAAGGAGTTCCACAGGTTGACCACACGCTGTGTGAAGAAGAACTTTCTTCTATCTATCTGCATGTCATGCATCTGATGAAGTGGGTCTTTGCCCACGAAAGCTTATGCTCCAACACTTCGGTTAGTCTATAAGGTGCCACAGGACCCCTCGCCGCTGTTTCTTCTATTAGTTTTAAACCTGCTACCCATTAACAGGAGCAGCCTCTGTCTGTGGCGGACCCGGCAATCCTCCCCCTGCCACAGGTTACACACTGGCTCCCCGGGAGCAGAGCCGGTTGCAGCCCTGATCCTGATCCCAGAGAGATGGCTTTGCTGCGGGCTCTGCAGTATAAAGCTTAAATAAGCCCGCAGCGCGTGTACCCATGTAACCGCTAGGATTTTTAGCGGTTACATTTTTTAACACATTTTTACATCCTTAATTCATACACACTAGAAATTAAGACAGAGTGAGAGCTAGGGATGTGAAGTATCAGTTAGCTGAATAGTCACATAACCTCTTATCTATAGTCCCCGGGGGCGGAGCCGGCATCCAGTGCGCTCTGGCCCCACTCCTGAGCAGCCCCCTGCCACTCCACGCTGCTGCCTCGATATCAGAGGCAGAAGCTGGTCCGCGACGGAAGCCAGTTTAAAAACTAGCTCCCCTCGCAGAGCGGATTCCTGTCCTTGAATATCATCCAGTGGGCTATATGTGGATTATTGTAAACAGCTTCTCTTCAATTAATGGCGACTTAGCAGTGTGGAGCACTCATAGCCAAAGGCCGTAGGGCACATTATACAGGTGCTGAGCCTAATCCCAGGAAGAGTGAAGGTTGCCTGGTTTGTGCTCTGTCAACCTTGCAAAAAGCAAAGGGTCACAACTGTGGTGCAGAAAGAGCAGCAAGAAAAGTCAAGCAGTGCTTTAAAACAAACTTGAGTAGAAGGAAGGAGGAGAGAGGAATAATCCATTTAGATGCAGATTGCAATAACTTCATTAGGAATTTGATACACACCAGTTTAATTTTTAAACTGCCGAATGAGGTGATACACTAAGCGCATGAGAGAAATCAAAAAGATTTGAGTAGTGCTAAAAAGCCACCCCAAACCCAAATGTTTGACCCTCAGAATAACAAAACAGCCATGAATACCCTTCTGTTCACGTTTAAACAATCAGTAAACACAGACCACATCAACACCGCCCCCTGCTGGAAGCCACTGTCTATTCCTGAAACACTCTGTCAAAGAGCAGCTCTTCCAGGTATTTTTTTCATTCTCCCTCTTCCACACACAGCAGCTTCAGGAAGTTCCCAAGAGTCTCAGCTTTGCTTGTCACCCCAGCATGCCCTAGCTCATGGGTTCCCAAACTGGGGGGTGTGCCCCCTTGCGGGGGTGCATGAAGAAATGCCGGGGGGGGGCGGGCGCGAAGCAACCCAGCCCTTCCCCTTTACCCCCTTCCGCATTAATCCCCCCACAAGTTTTGCTGCTATTTTTGTTTTTCAGCCCCGGTCAGTTCCTTTTTTTTGCTCAACGAGTTTGGCTGCTATTTTTTTTGGGCCGGGGGAGGGGGGGAGGTGGGGGCGCATGAGGGTCTCTCAAAAATCAAAAAGGGGGCATGATGCCAAAAAGTTTGGGAACCACTGCCCTAGCTTGTTGCAATCACCTGTATCAGTGCTGAAACAAGGGGATAGGGTTCTCAGATTTTTTAGTCATTAGCTAGCAATTAAAAAAAATAAAAGCATCATAGTTGGCCGCCATATGGTAAGAGAAAAGCCACAGCGGGGTGAGGGGAGCGCTCAGCCATTGGGCTGGATGTGAGGCAGCGTTTTTATTTTGTATACTATTAAATGTAGAGCCTCGTGGTTCTAGGCTCCACACAATTCTTTGGACCACCTGCTGTCCTCCCCTACCCAACACCACCACCCATCTCAACCGCTTTCCGTGAGGTCTCGTGACATACCAGTTTCCCCAGCTCGGTTTTCTTCTCATTGGAGACTCTGGTGGCTAAGGAGATAGCAGCTACCCGACGAGGCTGGGTCACCGCAATGATGCCTTGGCGGCCGATTCCTGCTTCGTAGAGGTACTGCGGGATCTGAGTGGTCTTCCCTGAGCCTGTTTCCCCTAGAGAGCAACAAACGAACAGGCAGCTGTTACTGCTGGAGCGTCTCCAGTGAGAGGCTCCCAAGCCATTTTATCTGGTAGTTAACTCTCATCCCTCCGTGAGGCAGGTGTTGGTGCCATTTGGCCAATGGGAAAGCTGAGGAAGAACCAAGTAGGATGATGGAAACTGAGGCACCGAGCAGCAAAGCAGAGCCAGGAACAGAACCCAAGCACCAGAGTTCTAACCACCGGATACCCCGCTCCCCTCGAGAACACTCTTCTCATTCCACATGGCTGGCTGCTGGTACTGGCTCGTAAAGGCAAATGGCAAGTAAATCAAGGCAGAGCCTGGGTCACTACAGAAGTGCTTCCAGGAACATTCAGCACAGCACTAAGCTGACCATTCTTCCTTTTGGGGTTCCCCCAGCTGCACAGCAGCCCACTGCACTCTGACCTGGATGGACGGCACCTTCCTAGGAAGCCCCTGATGGAGCGCAGAGTTAATTACACTCAAGGGAAATGGTTTCTTTTCAGTATATATGACAGTAGTGTGTGGCCTGACTCCCTATAAAATCATGGGAGTAAGAGACTGAAAAGACCCATTCAGTCCGTCTCTCCTACAGTAGGTAGATTTGTCTTAAAAGTTCTGGCAACAGAGCTTCTACAATTCGCTACAGGTGACTACTCGCAGCTTGCGGTGTCAATATTCTCCGATATTCAGCCTAGGAATTTCCTGTCTTAATTTTACCCCACTATGTCTAGTTGTGTGTCCACCTGCCACACTAAACGATTCCTCTCTACGTTTGGAGTTGCAAATATTCATTGGCTTGTGCCCCCAATTAATCATTTTTAACGTAAGAATGGACACTCTGGGTCAGACCAAAATTCCATCCGGCCCAGTATCCTGTCTGCTGACAGTAGCCAATGCCAGATGCCCGAGAGGGAATAGAGATAATCCTCATGTGAACCCTCCCCTGTCATCCATTTCCAGACCAACAGAGGCTCGAGACATCATTCCAACCCATCCTGGTTAATAGTTTTTAGGCGAGTGCTTCTGGGGTACTTTTTTGGGATTTTCATTTTGCTTGCAGTAGGGATGTTAAAAATCAGGTAATTGGATAAACATGTAACTAATGAAAATCTCAGTGGTTACACAGTTACTTGCAGTGTGGGGTGGCAGTCGACTCCCTGAGAGCCGGGGCGTGCTGGCAGCCAGCTTTTAAGCTGGTTCCTAGTGTGCACCAGCTCGCACTTGCAGCCCTGCTACCAGGAAACTGGCTGCCACCCCCAGGTTGCTGCCTTGTATACAGAGGCAGCAACACGTGGTGGCAGCTGGCTCCCCAGGAACGGGATGGGAGCCTGCATGTAACTGTGAACGTTAAGCCCAGGCTTATCAGTTAACCATTTACACGGTTATTCTTTCACATCCCTAGCTTGCAGTTCATCTTTAACAAACATGAACACTGGGCTGAAAAGCTGAGACATGTGGACAGGAGCTGTTCTTTCAGCACCACACAGAGGGCTACCAAAAAACCCTATTCCTTTCTCCCAACACCCCCCTCCAATTCTGCCACTACACAGTCAGCTGCAATTAAAGTGGCAACCATTACTTACGATAGGCATTTCACAGTCTTATGGATCAGTACCATAGGCCAGTGATAAAAACAGACAGTAGTGCTGAATTACTGGCTCGGCAGAACCCTAATGCTAGCCCTATGACAGCACTGACAAAAACAATCCTTTCATTGCTTGGGACAGATACAAGTTGGCCTCAGGCACAATGTCTCAGAGAACATGAATTTGGAATTATTTCAAGTCTCGGGAGCAATGGAGAACAGGAAACTGACATGAATGACTATTTCATTCCCCTTCAATTTTACTAGTTCTTAGGAATCTTTTTATTCTTTGTATATTGTAAAAAAATGCTTTTAAATTCCAACTTGAAGAATAATAAAACCTTTTGTCACTCTTCAGCTTTCTAATGGCCAACAAACAGGATTCCTCCTCACAAAGGACTGTGAACATGTTAGAAGTGCATGGAAGGAGGGACTGTCTTCTTCTGACTCTTGGAAAACACAGACTTCCACCTCCTGCCCCATTCCCAAGAAACTCCCGAAGGAAGATGCCATCACTTCAAAGTCACCATGAAGAGATCTATTTTGGTCAGCTGTGCTACTGCAGCAGTGTTACTATTCTAATGAAGGCTGGCCTATGTTACTGGTCCATACGGCTGTGAAATGCCTAGATAGTAAGAGATGGTTGCCACTTTTATTGCAGCTGACTGTGTAGTAGCAGAAAAGTGACATGAAAAGCCCATATCCACTTACTATGTAATTACTGGCCATAAAGAAGATGGTGCCGCTCTATCGGAAAAAACTCTAATGGAACATAATTCTTCACGACGCGCAGTGACTAGAAATGCACATACTGTAGGGCTCACATCATGCGTCTTCTGTCCTTAAACCACCACATCTACTATTTTCCTTTTCTTGTTTATACTTTGACACATGCAACTGGGCTCAGAACTTAGCTGGGTCAGAGTAATAAGGAAGAGGAATAAGAAGAATGATAAGAAGTTCAGAAGTAACGGTTCTTCAGATTGAAAAAAAATTGGGTTTGTTCAATCTTTCCTCATAGGTCTTGTTTTCTAGACCTTTAATAATTTTGGTTGCTCTCCTCTGGACTTTCTCCAATTTGTCCATATCTTTCCCTCACTCAGAACTAGACCCAGTATTTCAGGTGAGGCCTAATCAGAGCAAAGTAGAGCCGAAGAACCTCTAATTGTGCTTTGCTCACAACATTTCTGCTAATACATCCCAGAATGATGTTTGCTCTTTTTTAAAAAAATTTTGTGTGTGCAACAGTATTACATTGTTAGCTCATATTTAGTTTGTGATCCCCTGTAACACCCAGTTTCCTGCAGGGCTCCTTCCTGGGCAGTTATTTCCCATTTTGTATTTGTGCAGTTGATTATTCCTAAGTGTAGTATAGTAAAACCTGTGCTATCCGGCACTTAACTAGCTAGAAAACTTTAGAAACCAGAAAATATC